TATCCTTAGTAGACAGGACCAGGGAAAAAATAGTCAAACAGTTTTAGCAAAATCCAGGATATTCTGCGCAAAGTTCCGAAAGGAATTGTGGGAAATTCCAGCCTATTCTACACAGACTCATGTTTCAGGCTAATTTCAAATAAGAGATTTATTCACCTTATTTCGTTTAAGGTGAAAAAGGACTGGTAGTAGAATTTTCCTACAATGGTATGAGTCGAGCTGACGTTTCCATTATATTTCACACTGCCTTGCTTTCCCAAAAGTTGTTCTCATCCAGGCACTAGTGGACTGCAGTTTCGACCACGCATTGGTCTTATCAATACCCCCAGCGGGAGTCGAACCGTGACGGTGCAGAATGGGAGCTTAAAACGTTAACCACTCGACCACATTGCCACGAGTGCCCTTGGGTCACAGGGCAGAGGTGACTTTCAAGGAAGGCCAGACATTTTGCCATATCATATTTTTTGGTGGGATTGTCGATTAAGCAAACGTATATTTGATATAACAATCGACTATGTTACTTATTTTTCCTGTTTTGAGTAGGGTTTCGAGACTATCAGTAAATCAGTAATAAGAGATATATTCACCCTATTTCGTTGAAGGTGAAGAAGGACAATCCCACCAAAGAATATGATATGGAAAAATGCCTGGCCTTCCTTGAAATGCACATCTGCCCCGTGACCCAAGGGCACTCGTGGCAATGTGGTCGAGTGGTTAACGTGTCGAGCTCCCATTCGGCACTGCCACGGTTCGACTCCCGCTGGAGGTGTTGATAAGCCCGATGCGAGGTTGAAACTGCAATCCATTTCTGCCTGGATGAGAACAACTTTTGGGAAAGCAAGGCAATGTGAAATTCAATGTTCTACCGACCTGGGATTACTCGAGTGTTTATCAACTTTTGTCCAATAGGAAGATTTTTTCTCAGTGGCTTGCCTTTCTTGGCATAATGAGGCATACTCCTTTCATTAGGAGTAATCCAGTCATTAGTTCCTAGATCATCCTGTACGACTTAGGCTGGCTCAAGCTCTTGTTCTCAACAATCTCGACAAATAGTTGCATAAAAACAGTCTTACACTTCCTTAATGGTCCTTCGCCATATTCTGCGTGACCTCATGCTTAGTTCAGGCACTTGTATCCTGGGGCCTTGGCTAAATTTGTTGATCCGAATGAAGCAAGATGAACCCATCTGCTTTGTCTTTGTTGAGGTTGACATTTTTTCTTACTTTCATCCGTCCCATTCTTTGCAAGAATTCCCATCTGATCAATATGCCTTTCTCTGGTCACGACTTCTGCTTGCCCTGCGTCATCAGCAATTACGTATCTAGGTCTTTCATCTCGCTTGAGAGTTGGTCTAAAGGGATTTGGAGGGTTTTTCCACCGGAACCTGAAAGAAGATTACTTTGCAGCCTGGCTAACCTCGGCTAACATCCCACGCTCAAATTGATAGTTTAATGTCCCAGTAAATCTCCTTCCCGGTTCCGTTAACCATAGCTACTTTCCATTTTCCTTCCCAAGCCAGACAACTCATGCATGGGTCTGCAGCCATCTGTATCTTGTAGTAATGCTAGTAACACCATGGCGCTGATCATAAGATTGGCCATCACTGGTCAGGTGCTAACTTATTCTGGGCAAAGTCATGCAGACATAGTCTCTTACCCTGATTATAAAACAGGACTAAAAGAAAATTGTCGTGGGCTTCATAAGAAGCTGTCATTGTTGGTCACCTTTTTCGTCAACAGGTCCAAAAGGAGCTACAATTTGCGTCTTTTATCGGACTTTATTTCGATTAAAAACTATACTTAAATTAATCCGGTTTCTTTAGAAAGAATGTTCACTTTAGCAGTAAAAACTATTGCTTGTGTCCTCCAAGTCTGGTCCATTTATGCTGAGTCATGAAAGAGATGAAGAAAAATTGCGTTCCGAAGAATTCCTTAGTGATATCTTGTGGTGTGACCTTCCGTTTTGAAAGAAAAGTTGGTTGGAAGGAATTTGTGCTGTAGTCTCATCGGAAGCCGAGGAGGATTGCTGCGTGGGAAGACTGTTGAATTGTAGGAAGAAGTCGTCGGCCCACCGCCCTGCAACCCCGATGAAACTGTGCTAAGCTTTCTTCTGAACTATGACAGACATCATCACAGCAGGTGTCCATATTTCTGGAAATAAAGCAAAAATATACTAAACCAAGATAAAAGGTGGCCGGCTGCAACTCCAGTCGCTCTTTTTATACACCTAACCTCGCGATCTTAATGAGGCATACCATTATTCGGTTGGCTACTTCAACCTTACTCGGCATGCTTGCAAATGAAGGAAGTCACTTCCCGAACCGGAAGTGTTTTTGGTAGTAACTGTTTACTTACACAAATAAATTAGTGTACGATCCTCAAATGTTGATTCATGTTTGGACTTGTGCCCTTGTCTATTGTGTGTATGTAATGCTCATGTCATGGGAAGTAGGATAGTCCTATTTAGACTCGAGGCTAATCCAGCTTCCTTCTCTTGCTCAGTGGTTCTTCCTTTACTCACTCTCTCTCTCTCTCTCTCTTCAAGCCTATCCAACAGCAACACATAGTTCCTACTCCGTTTTCTGCACTCGTTCCTCCAATTCAGGACGTTGGCTGTTTTGTTAATTTCTTTAGACTCCCTAATCTTACGATTAGATGTGAAGTCCCCGTAACCCACAAAACGTTGTGTTTTGGACCAGTCTATTGAGTGTCCTGTATTGGTCATGTGTTCAGCGAGCTCAGACTTTCGCACCCATAGACCTTAACAAGCTGTTTTGTGTTCGCATAGTCTCTTCTGGATGGGTCTGCCAGTCACTCTCAAATAGACCCTACCACATGACCACAACATCTTTTGACAGCTTTATCTAGAAAGAGGGTGGGAAAATTCTCTAAATGAAGGAACTTCTAAAGAAAGTATCAATTTCTCTTTATGCTTTGTTTTTATGTTCCACTTCCTCAGTAGATCACCAAACTTTTCCGCAAACTGACAGAAGGCAAAATCAGGAAACGAGTAGAATGGTGCCGCCACAGGTAGAAAACTTCCCTCATTTTGTTATGGACGATTGATATTTAATTGTCTACTAATTCTAATGGGTAATTGTTTTGAAACAATATATGCCTCAATCTTCCTATCTCCTTGTCTCTGTGGTAACATCTGCTGGACGCAGACTGCTTATTATCCTTGATTTCACAACTCATATTTTAACTCTATATGTATGGTTGGAGAGGAAATTATTAAGGAACCCTGCATTTGTGGGTTCCCCATATACGTCTTTACCGAACTTATCAACTTCTTTTCTCACTAATACATGATTCAACATTGGAGGATCGCACACTAGTTCATTTGTGTGAGGAAACAGCTGCCACCGTACGTACTTCCGGTTCGGTAAGTAGCTTCATTCATTTGCGGGCATGTAGAGCAAGATGGAAATAGCCAACTAAATCATGGGATGCTTTAATAAGATCAAAAAGTTAGGTGTCCAAAAAGAGTGACTAGGGTTGCAGCTGGCCATCTTTTGTCTTGGTTTTTACTCTTTCTTAAAGTATGGATAATTGCTCTGATGATGTCTGACACAATAGAGACAAAAGCTTAGCATAGTTCCATAGGGGTCGCAGGATGGTGAGTCGAGGGCTCTTCGCACAATCCAACGGTCTTTTCTGTGCGGTAATCCTTCGATTTCTGGTGAGACCATATCACGAATTCCATCCAACCAATTTTTCCTTCGAACTAGACAGTCATGTCATGAAACACATCACTAGAGGGAGTAAGCATTCTTCAAGAAACTTCACAAAACCCCCGAGCCAATCATGGACAGAACTGCATTTTTATTTATTTCCTTAAATTACATTTTTATGGTAATGAAATTTATTAATTTGGTTGGCTAATTCGCAACCTGTACATGATTGTAGAAGTGGGAAGTCGATGCGACGTGCTAAACATTCGGCTATTTTCTCAATTAATCTGCCATGTTATTGACTCTTCTGATATGTAGATGGGAAGAGTAACAGGGTTTCGATGACTCTCTTAAGATAGCATGATTGAGGAGACCTTCATTTCGTATGGAAGTACATGAATAAGAGATTCGTAGGTCGATCTCACCAGAGCAAGACGGCTACTTCTCGTTACAGTGCAGCCGTTTCGCTTTAATACGACGTTCTATCGCGAACTTATTACCAATTTACTTTGAAGAGGCTTGCATTCAAGCGAGGATTCCCTTCCTCCATCCAATGCACCAACTCACTTTTGGCGAACTTTCCAGTCGGTAGGCTTTCACTTGAGCAAAGAGGTCATCATGCCCAAAAAGGTTCTCGCAAAAAGTACAGCTGAGGTTAAGATACATGTCATTGCTAAGGCGATGAACCATTTAGTGCCCTTCTCCGAGGGTACCCTACATTTCCCATTTTCCGTAGCCTTCCGTAGCCCTGCAAGCTGGGGACACCAAATGAACGAATCACGAACCAGAGTTTGAGGGCGCGAAACTGACGGCTGAGCCGGATCTGCCAGTGCTGATTGAAGAGGGGCGATAATATCAAGATGATTTATTAAATATGAAGAATAACTGCGGTTTCCGCGAGTCACATAAGATAATATTGTTGGGTTTTTAGTTCTGAGTATATCTAAAAAGTCAGATAGAGCCGGACAGTCTTCTTGACCTAGTGTCGACGTGAGACTTTTACAAGAATTAGTTCCAGCTGTGGTTACTTCCATCTTATGTTGGACACGAAAGAGGGTGCCTCGCGGACTGCGTCAACCTGAACTTCGTGTGAAGCCAAATAGCTGCAGTACAACCAGAATCAGCCGTCGTTTTCTGGTGAGATCGACCTTCGAATCTCTTATTCATGTCCTTCCATACGAAATGAAAGTCTCCCAAACAATATTCTGACACGTGTTGAGTGGGTCTTCTGAAAGGATGGCTTGCGACTCCGAAAATGTCTGTCACGCCGAGGCAAACGAAAACTCAGTGTCAAGAGATCTCGGTCGACAATCACAACTGCCATGCTTCCTTAGGAAACCCTTTCCATTAAGTGTTGCTGATAAACTCGTATGCTGAGCTTTCCTTGAAGTCTCAGTGCTTGGCTGAATTTAGCAAATCAAGCTTTTAACGTTCCTATGCGGTCTGTCAAATGATATCCGAAAGGTCCACACAAACTGACAGGAAGTACAGGACTCTAAGCCGAGTAATTCTTCGTGCAAATCCACAATCCCAACATCAAGGCAATCCTTCCTCAATTGCTCTATGAGGCCAAGTTACGAATCCTGTCCATCTTTTTTTTTTAATAAAAAAAATTTTAGCAAAAGAAATCGCAAGGGGATGAGAAAGGTAGAATCCGAAGCCAAGAGGAGACGTCTTCAGTGAGCCTTAG